AAAGCGCGGGGATTTTTCTTTTGTCTCCTCCGAATTTGCAAATATCATGCAAATATCATGTTGCGCTCCATAACTCACCGCTTAGCTCGTTGTTTCCAAGGTTGAGGTATTGTAGCGCTGCGAGGTTCCCGAGGTCCCGCGGGATGGGGCCTGCGAGCAGGAGGGCGATACAAATCAAGCGCGACAAAAAACAAGAAATATTATCCCGCCTCTCGATTTTCAAGAGGACGCCAAGTAGTAGGCGGGACAAGATCTACCGAGATCGGTTGTCTTGAAAATAGAGAAAGCAGATTAATTTGTATCGTACTCCTACTTACAGGTCCCATCCCGCCGGAGCTCGGGAACCTCGCAGCGCTGCAACAACTCGACCTTGGCGGGAACGCGCTAAGCGGTAAGTCATTGAGCCCAAGCAATTTTTGATGTTTGCAAAACAAACACTTCCGGGATGAATCCCACCAATGAGTGGGACAAGATCTACGCAGATTCGCAGTACTCTTCATTTTTTATTTCGAACCTCTTTCCATTCCATATTCATCCAGGTGAAATCCCGGCGTTGCTAGGACAGCTCAGGGACCTGCAGGTGCTCAGTCTACACAGTAACAAGCTCACAGGTGAGTATCTATGGCGGATTTGAGTGCGTCGTGGGGAAGGATATTTTTCTCGACCTGATTCCACCAATGAATCCCGCGTACTGCGTACGCGGGATTGATGCAGGCAGAACTCGCAAGAACAAAACTCTTTTTGATCTGTTCAACTCACCATCTAACTTGTTGCCGGAGAGGAAGCGTACGCGGGATTGATGCAGGCAGAACTCGCAAGAACAAAACTCTTTTTGATCTGTTCAACTTACCATCTAACTTGTTGCCGGAGAGGAAGAGGTACTGGAGGGCGCCAAGCTGTCCGAGCTGAGGCGGGATATGGCCTGCAGATGAACGATTCAACGCAGGGCAGTTTGGCAGGGTACAGACGAAGTTATCCCGCTAGTTCTGAAGTTTCGTGGAAGCCAACTAGTTGTCGGGACGGATGTTCTAGAAAGCGGGGGAGTGTTTTATTTTGTCCCGCTGAGCTACTCCGTTCCGTCCGTCCGCTTGCAGGCCCCATCCTATCGGAGCTTGGGCACCTTTCAGCACTGAAGAAGCTCTACCTTTCCTTCAACCAGCTGAGCGGTGAGTCAACATGTGATTTGATGACTGTTCCACGACCGATTTTGCGGCGAGTCCCGTGTACGAATCTCGCTGATGCACGTGAGTAGACGCCAACTGCGTGCGCGGGATTCACCTTGAATCCAGATCGACCTGTGTCGGTTCCTCACCTGTGAGCCGGTTTCCTGCGAGCAAAAGCTTTTCCAGCTTACTCAGCGCTCCCAGCTCCTTGGGAATGAGTCCTGTACAAAATACATAGGGAAATTACGTAGAGCAAAAGATATCTTTCGAGTTCTGAAATTTCGTACTCGCCTACTAGTTGGCGTCCATTTTCCCGTCGCCGCCGGGGGACATGAACACGTTATGAGAAAAATTAACAAAGTATTCAAGTTCTATCAGTCTCTCACCGCTGAGCTGGTTGTCGGACAGGTCGAGCCTCGCGAGCTTGTTGAGAGCGCCGAGCTGCGCCGGGATCGCACCTGCAAACAAGTAATATACGTTTGCGGAGGAAATAGAATTTAATCACCCGGCTCTCTCTTTTCGAGATATTCGATCTACGTAGATCGTGTCCCACCCACTACAGTTGGCGTCCACTCACTGGTCCAGAAGCCGGGGCATTATTTTTGTTTTGACCCGCAACCATCACTCCGTTTTCCTTCTTCCACTTACAGGTCCCATTCCGCCGGCGCTGGGAAAGCTCGCAGCGCTTCAAGAGCTATACCTCTACGAGAACCAGCTAAGCGGTGAGACACTGTTTAGATGTGTTGAAAAAAAATCCCATGAATTTTCAACATGAATCCCGTGTATGTAGTTGGCGTCCATGCACTGGTGCAGAAGCCGGGGCACTCTCTACTAATTCCCAGCTCGTATTCGTTACTGGCCATAAATGCAGGACCGATATCGGAAGAGCTAGGGAAGCTTACTGCGCTACAGCGTCTATATCTGCACTCAAACTACCTCTCAGGTGAGATTTCGAAGTCGTCAGAAGCAGCGTGCATGAATCACGCCGATGCGTGAGTAGGCGGAGAAGCATTTAGTCAATTCTCTGTTTTTCTCGTACTGCTCTCCTGCTTGCAGGTCTTATCCCTCCGGAGCTAGGGAAGCTTGGCGCCTTGAAGAGACTCAATCTCAGCATCAACAAGTTAGATGGTGAGTCCAGGAGATGAAATCCATTTTATTTTCTAAATATGTTGACACAAGGTACATGAATCTCGCCGACGCATCGGCAGGATTCATGCATACACCACTTCTTGAGAAGTCGAAATAAAGTTCCTGAACTCACCTTCTAAAGAGTTGCGATCGAGGCAGAGGCTCTCCAAGGCGCGCAGATTCCCTAGCTGCGGTGGGATGTGCCCTGTAGATAACGCAGCAAGTCAAAAGAACAAACCAAGGAAAGTATTGAATTTCGAATTGTTCTTGATGTTCGATCTCCGGAGATGCTGTCCCGCCCACTAGCTGGCGTCCACGAAACTTCAGAACTAGCGGGATAACTTTTATGACTCCAAGTACGTCGGCAGAATTCTTATTTCGTGAACAAGAAAAATTTCAACTTTTCTTCGATTCTCTCACCTGTGAGGTTGTTGCGGTGGAGCCAAAGCTTCTCCAGCCTACTAAGTGCTCCCAGCTCCTTGGGGATGGGTCCTGCACAAGAATGCAGTAGGGAGAAATATCACTAAGGACAGTTCTAGAAAGAAAATCCCTGTATGAATAAATCCGTACATCTTGTCCCGCCTAGCATCGGCAGGACCAACCGTCTAGAAAAGTTGAAAATTGGTAACTTCAATTACTTCGTTTGACACACCCCTCACCGATGAGCTGATTTCCTGCCAGCCAAAGCAGCTCCAGGTTAGTTAGAGCTCCAAGTTCCTTGGGGATGTGTCCTGCATTAGCAGCACAGCAGCGGGCATACGAACATGATTTTTACATTATTAAAATTCCCCGGCGTCTAGAAAAACGGTCCTGCGGTAATTCTCTCAGCACAGTTCTTCGCATTGTGCTGGTTGGAAGAGGCGCCGATCACATCTACATCCCTCCGATGGCTGGTCACAGCTGTTCTCCACAAAGGCTGCACATGTACTGTTTCAAGACCTATTTTCAACACAAACCCCCTGGGTCCAACAACCGCAGACGTGACAGTGTTCAGCATGCACAAGGGCGCAACTGTACCACAGCTTCCTTCAGCTCCCAATAGAGTTGATTTCTCGATGTTTCAAAAACACCATGCACGTTTTCAATTCACCTTTTGGCCCTTTGTATTCGTCAGTGTTTCCTAGATTGGTGGCGGAAGGGTTTGCGGCTAGAAACGTGACCGTCGGCACCGAAAACAACCCTTGGAAGGAGCCACCAGCCGAGGTGATGAACAAGGGCATGGCCCACGCGGCTGTTTTCCTCAGGGACTTGGATGACTACGGCAGGGCATGGTCCAACCGCCTGAAGGTTGTGTTGGTTGGATTGGGCGAGGCAGGGAAGACCAGCATTGCCACCCGACTCGAAGACCGACTCGGCTCTAGCTGTCCGAAACCCGAGGAGCGCACCGTTGGCGTGGAGATACGGGACATCAAGCTAGGACCTGGCCCAACCAACGAAGGAAGTGGGCCGAATGTCGAGCTAGACGTCAGCCTGTGGGATTTTGCTGGGCAGAGAGCATACTACGACACGCACCAGGTAGGAGCGATCATGAATCCTACGTGAAAACAAGCAGTGATCTTACCATCGCAGGAAACACCTGAACAAGTGTATGAAGAGAAGGCTTTTGTTTGGTAACATGTTTGGCTGTCGCTGTCGTCGGCCTCTCTTTCCTTTGAGGCACACGCCATGACATGCGCTACTTACGGGCACTTAACCACGACCGTTCTCCCCGATGTCCTGCCTCCCCGATGTCGCGCGGCCCAGATGTTCCTTACACCAGGCGCTCTCTTCGTTCTGGTTGTAGATATGTTCACATATACGGAGGGGCAGTCACGGGAGGATGCGCTCGAACAGTGGCTTGAGATTCTGCAGGCCAGAGTCCCGGGTTCCGTTGTGCTGCTGGTGGGAACGCACACCGACTTATTTGCAGAGAATGCGGCCGAGTGCACCAGGCGAACGGATCGCTTCAAGAAAGGTCGGTCGTGAGGGCGAACTGTTGCGATGTAGGTCATGTGATGGCAAGCGTCTACTTCGTATCTCGTAACTTTACCTCAACAACAACGTGTTGGGTGCGATCGCCGATGGTGCCGCTCATATGGGGTCGGCTGGGTCTAGAATCGCCGTAAGTGGCAACCTTGTTCAATACACGATTGCGTCGCGTAACGAAGAAAGAGTCGCGGAGTTATGGGGACTACCACGCGCCCTGCGCAAGACACCTGCAGGGCACATTGAGCAGAAAATATAGTTGAAAGTTCAATTTTTCGGGTGCTAAGAGTTGATGTCCGCGGCTGGGTCGAACATATGACACCGTAGGGTTTTTCTCGAACATATGACACCGTAGGGTTTTACGCTTTTCCAACGGCTGGTGGCCCAGCAGTTTTCGTTGGTCGATTCTGTTGCACATGTGCGAGCACAACCGCACATAAAATCTTGCCTCTGAACTCTGTCCGAGCACTCGGTGTCCATGCTCAATGCAGACATTGTTCTACGTCGTCCAACAACACCTATCTTTCTCCGTGACCAACAGATGTGGAAGAGATCATGACGCGATTGCGCTGCGAATGTGACTCAGCCAAGGACCGTGTGGAAACAGAACTGGGAGAGGGACACACCACGGATTTGAAGGGGAACCCCCGCTACCAACCCCTCCGCGTTGTGCTGAAAGAAGAGTTGCTTGCCCTGGACCTTACTTCCTCGGACGGGCAAGATATTGATCTGCTTCAGCAGCGTTTAGAGCACCTTGCCTACAACGGGTACGACGGCTACTCATTCCCATCCGTGAGGAGCGTCGTACCGGAACCTTATTTGCCAGCCATCGCAACGCTGGAAGCTGTTCGTAGGGGCGCGGATTTACGTGGTTCCGGCAGGACACGAGAAGCGGTGGCGCAAAGGCTTGGGGAGGGGGACCCCAAGAAACGTCGAAGCTTCGTCAGATTCTCGGAGGCCGTATCGCTTTTTACCAAGCAAAAGGGATCCATGTTCTCTCGGGTTTCCAACTTATTTCGCCGGGCTGGTGAACCACGGCGCATATTTCTCGCCGCTGTCAAGTCACACGAAGCTCATGGCGCGATTCTTCTGACTGGGGTTGACGGGGGTGGAGGTTCTCAGGAGCAACATAACACGGGCATTGGTGCTGCGGCTTCAGCAGCGGACCTCATCATCCACGTGAACCCGTCCCGGTTTGCTGATCTGGTCCGCCGCGTGGTCGACGTTCGGTTGGTAGACCCGCGGCAGCAAGCAAAGGTGGAAGAAGCGATGGAGGCGTGCACGTCAGTGAGGCCAATGCTATTGACACTCACAGATCAGCACAAGCGGTTTGTCAAGGCGGGAGAGGTGAGCAAAGACTACCTCAAGTTTCTGTGGCTTCGAGACATGGACTTGGGCGAGGCAAGCCAAGAGGCACCGCCTCTGGAGATGAGCGAAGCTGACGTCGAGGTGATGGTGGGTAGCTTGCTTGACGTCCGGTTCATGTATCGAGTACGTGATGGTCAGCACGCGTTCGTGCCGGACCGTTACGTTGTCGCAAGCTGTCTACCGAACAAAGCTGGTCTGAACGTGGATCCAGGGAAGATTTTAGAACTGAAGATGGGAAGTGCGATATATTCGCAGAAGCTGAAGCTTGTTGGGGCACATGCTGTGCCCCCGGGGCTGGTGCCTCGATTGCTGGCGTGGTGTGGGCGCGGGGAGGGGCGTATCAAGGCGTGCTGGAAGCGAGGCGTGTGTTTTGCGTTCAAGAACCACTTGGTGTTGCTGTACGAGGTTCGGGCTATTGATGGAACATCGTGGATTGAATGCCATGCAAGGGGAAACGTGTCCGACGATGATAGTGCGAGGACGGCTCTGAAAGACATCGGCGACCAGGTTCACGAGCTTATCAACGACCACAAGTACGGGTTCCCCGGCCTTGGCCTTGTCCGTAGTGGAGAGTCCGAGGAGACAGTTATCTCTTCGGACAGTGACCACAAGGCTTTGTTGGAGCGTATCGTGGACGTCCTGAGGGACCAGATGAACGTCAAGTTCATGATGGATAGAAGCATGAGGCAGGACGTGGCCTTCCTACGGTGAGTTCTCATGTAGTATGTTCGGTTCGAATGCATGTTGTTCGTACAAGTATTTAATACATAGCGTTAGGTGCCCTGTCTATCGGAAACGCGTGGCTAAATGTTGCCCGCACAACACCCCGCCTACACTCAAGCTACTTGTACATCGTCCCGTGGTACCCAACCCTCAGAGGTTGGGGGCAGAAGTTCATGTTGTGGATGCGAATCCTTCATGTAACGCCAGGGCCCTTCTGTCTGTTTCGATGGAACGCTCAGGTGGCCGATCCCCCGCCTGGTGTGCGTGCTCCCCGCCCCCGAGAGCCGGGCGAAGCCCCTTGAGGAGAAAGATAGGTCATTCGAGCAGTGGTCGGCCACCCTGCGGAACTGGTGCGTCGACGGGAAGAGGACGGGCAAGGGGTTTGCGACGCGAAAGCTGCGGGTGTTCTTCCTCTGCCCGTACGACAGGAGCCTCGCGGAGTGCGGCCCCGGAGGGCAAGGCTATGAGGTGCGTAGGCCAACGATGCGGTGCACGGCACGTTGAGAGTACGCTCTCCTGTTGAAATATGTCTATTGGTTCACCCGTGTTCCGTTCTTGCCGTCGTATCAGAGACTAATCGGTGTTACACGGTTGATGTGTCATCATCGGTGGCCTGCAGGGTAGATGTCGGGTCGAACGCGCGCGTCGTTTCCATTACCACACGTCCCCCTGCCGGGAAACAGTCACATCGCTTTGAATATCGCAGCTGGTGCTCCCTGTGCAGGTGACGGAGTTGCTGGGATGGGCAAAGAAGGCGATGCCGTTTGCGGAGGTAGGTCGGGCCCTCGCCTCAATCGCGCTCAGGGTGTGCATTGGCCTTGCAATTCCTGAGGTGGACTTCGAGGCCACCCTTGGGACTGTAGCTGGCGGAGCCTTGTCCAAGTTCGCCGAGGAATCACTGAACTCGGGCATCGAGTCTGTGGCGAGCATCGCCGGGGAGAGACTGGACGGCGGTAGGGCGGAGGGGCTGCCCCAGGGGGCCGGAGCGCACGGGGCACAACAGGTGCAGCAACTGTAGGCGCTGCCGATTTGTTGCGTCGGAGACTGTTGGAAGTGGAAGATGGTCTCAAAAACGTAGAAGAGTAGTTACTAGTGAAGGATCGCACTTTCCGAGTGAACTTCCTCTGTTGTGATATCTGCTGGTCATGTGCGTGCGTTTATCCCAAAAAGTGAAACGTAACGCCCAGAGTACGTAAACACAACGTCGTACACCAAACCGTAGGAGTTTTGTTGGTGAACGTGGTGGAATCCTGCACGCACGTGAACCTCCAGATGCTTGCTTTTCTTGCCATTCGTGACCCTGTTGAGCCTAAGAAGCCGTAGGCATGCTTTGTCACGCCGGGGTTCGATCCCAAACCCCTTGGGCGGTAATGCCCATAGTTGCACAGACGACCACGGTCTATCCTCTTCGTCTGCCCTCTCAAACCACGCATTCGGTACCCGCCTATCTAGGGATGGCCTTCCCCTGTGCAAGGGTTCACCTACGAAACACTCAAGGAGGTTATCAAGAGTTTCGAAGTTGATGGAATGCGGGGCAGGTCTCCCTTCCCGAGCTTCGACGCCAAGATGCATCTCGTGGACAGGGGTGGGCGAGGAGAAGAGTGGGCATGGGTACGGACCAAGAACATTGACCAGTTCGCGGGTGCGTGAGCCAATCTTGAGGCCGAGGTGCCGTCGTGTCCTTTCCCTTGTTCCTTGAGAAGGACGCGGAATCGAGGTCAACGGTGGTTCTCCGACCCTTGTGAATTCGGGCGGGCGTTCGTGTGGTGGCGTTGTCGATTGGTGGTAATGCATTAATTTGTCGCCGTATTTTCCACGCTTTCAAAGGCGATGTCTCGCGGAAGAAGGCCTTCTGCATTGAGATGGGATGTCCCTGGGATGGACGATGGAGGTGCCCATCGGGGAATAAAACAAAGCAGGGCGAGGTCGATGTCCAGGTTTCTACCAAGAGTTGACCAGGCGCCCGTTATTCCGAGTTCTTACGTTGCCTTCACCGTTGTTTGGATGAGAAGAAACATATTGTGCCCGTTGGAGATACACACCCCAGCCTTGTAGAATAGCGATCAACTGTTTTAGGGGGAAATGGTTGCTGGGGAATCGAAGTGTTGAGGTTCCCTGTAAAATACCCTTGGGTCTATGGCGATGTTGCGCTACGTACGCTTGTCTTGAATTCCTTGTTTCCCAGTTAAAGCAGCAATAGACAAACTGTTACTTGAGCACTTGCTAAATATATCAGTACATAGATTTTCATTTCTTTCGCCTATCGATCGTTTTGGGGATAGTTGGGCTTGTCAGATGTGGCACAGGTCGTTGTGGGGTTCCGATTTTAACGCCGCTTCATCACTTACTTTTGCGTATCGAGGGCTTTGTCCTTCTATGGAAATTTGAGGTATTTTTAGAACTGCCGACGTCCACGCCCCATTCGAGTATCCTGATGTTGGTTCTGCTTGTGTCCTTTGGTGTTATGGCGATGTGAATCAAGGCAGAAGACCCCTTGTAGCAGTTGCGTGCTTCGGTGTCCCGCAGAGTTCGCTTTGCTCCTGGAAGGTAGGTTCTGATGGGTTATGTATCAAATGCAAGAAACGGAACCCACCTCGTTTTACATGGCGAGGTTGGGTTTGTCACCATTATAATTCTGTGTTTAGACTATATGTTCATGTGGTGGTATACACCACACGAGGCTATAGTGACGAAGTGCCGACGCGAAGATACCGTGCCCCAAGTAAACGGCGATGGCCTGAGCATCAGTGGAGCATATCGGTCTTAAAGTGCGTTATTTACGGATTTGCCGAGTTTCTGCTCGTCGTCGGCATTGGATGTCAGGACAAAATGGCGGCATGTATGCATACATAGGAGCAATACAGTTTGCTTGAAATAGGCAAGGGCGCAGAAGGTTGGCAGCACAGAGGTGGCACCCTTCAACGGCAGGCCTATCATCATGGTTGTATTATTCCGTAGTTGACCTTGTGCTGCGATCGAAAGGGTTCGTGTACCAGTCGCTTGTCGCCGTTAGATGCTGCGAAGAATCTATTCGACACACCACACAGTATGTGTGGATGACATACCGAAACAACGCTTGTATGCATAGAGGCGATCAGAGCAACATCGACTGACTACTCAACAACAGAAACAAGCCAGGGAAAAAATACAAACAACGTAGTATGCATATCACAGAAAGAGCACACCCCTCCTTTGCGTTTCCTTCGTTACCAACGGCTCATACAGCCGAATGCTCTACAATACACGAAGGGACGTGCGCGGATGCCCCTGAAGTAATGGTCAACGGACCTTGTTGATAGTGGTTCACGTGAACCTCTTGCCGCCTTACGCATTATTGGATGGACTGAAATCGCTCGTGGAGTGGAGTTCGGGAAGTCAGCATGCACGTTGATGGTAAAATGTGGTTTGCGCGTCGGTTCCGTGTCGCGCCAAGGAGATTTACGAATGGTGTCATGGAAGAAGAAACGAGTTTCTCGAAAACTGACAGAAGCTTTGGTATGAAACTTGCAGGAGGGGCGGGTGGGGGCAGGAGGAAAACACGTCTTCGAACTCATTCAAAAATCTGTCGTTGAATCTCGAGAGCATCGACCGAAGAAAACAACTTCGTTTTCTTAGAGGAGAAACCGGAGAACGCCAATTCTAAAACTAAGTGAAAATGCGGCCTGGGGTCAAAATCGAATATAGGTCTGAGAATTTCGCCAACAGAAACTGAAGCCTATAGGACTGGGGAAATTTCGGCGTGGACCTGATTCCACGTAAAGAAACAAAAAGTTCATTGTATACCAAGCTGAAGGGTTTCGGTATCGTCGTCAGAGGCGCCTAGGTCGGGCACGCGCGTGTTTTTGTGCAGAGAGAGCTCATATTCTTTTTTCTATTGTTCTCTTCCGACTACTACAAGCATCACCGCAAGGGAGGAAAAAGGTAAACACAACGAACGAGCTCGTCCAACATGTACACGATAGACTCCTACAAGAATGCTCCGTAGTTGCGAAAAAAAAAAAAAATCAAACTCCAAATATACCCGACGACGGTAGAAGAGAGGCTTCTTTCGCGCGAAAGATAATATACCAAACGAGCCACAGCTAGCCGTCCCTGTATATGGCACCCCCTGGACGACAACGGGAAAAACCAGGATACAGGTTTATACCAATACAAGAGACAGATTCCGCCACCTACGGGACGATAAGAAAAAAAAGCGGCGTAAGAAGAAAAGGGACGTAAAACCTCGTCCCCCTCTGGTTCTTACTTCTGGTACGCCGCGATGACACCATCTAATATGGCCGTCTCCGACTCGTTCGCGTTTCCGAGACGAGCAGCAGCGTCGTGAAATTTCCATGTTCCTCCGGAGTAACACGCTTGAACCGCACCAAGACTACCCCGTGCGGCCCGGCTGGATCCGTCCCGGCCTGCCGTGTGGACTATGGATTTTCCCAGGATCCGACTACGGCGCCTCCCGCTGGTGGTCGGTCTGTGGGTCCTTCGAACAACTACAACAACGTCATCAGGACCAATCCTTCAACTTGTCATTTCGTTGGGGCATGGTAAAAAGCAAACTTTCGTGCAGCCGACACGAATTGACTTTTCAGCAAACGATCGTTGCTTCTAAAAGAAACACAAGACTGCTCGCTGCTAATAATACTGTTGTAACAGGGTCTTCAATCTACCCCTTCCACGGCAATGACTTCTTTACAGACCTACGTCTACAGCTAACCACGGCCATTTGCTTAACACCGCAACACCTGCCATGCCTGCTTCGTCGACCGGTGGTTTAGCAGCCCCGCCGCTCGCCTTTGTCCCAGCAAACAAACCTCAAACAACACCCAAAACATCCCCGTAAAAGTAACGGTACCGTCCACCCTGCCGTCCAGTCTCCTCGGCCCTAACTCGCACAATGCGTCTCCCTCGTATGCTACCATCCCGTCTCCTGTACCTCCTACAACTTGCGCTCTGACGCTTGCCTAACACGTTGTCCTTTCTTTGCCGAGGTATACGGGTATCCTTCCAGAACGTCCAGAACCAGCCGTGCACGAGAAGGATGTTCCGAACCTTTTGAGGGGGTTACTTACGGCGTCTCTTTCTCCCCTTAGGCAATAGAGGACAGTCCTTGCAGCATGCAATCCCTACGGGGGTCTACACCAGATTGAGCTTCGCTTGCATCTTCACATTCTCTTGAGCTGCTTCAGATGCCCGACTGCATCTTCACGAGCTGGAACCGAACATCCTCTTGAGCTGGTTTAGTTGCCCGACGGGTGTCGTATTTGATAACGGGGTGAGAATGGAGCAGAGGTACGTGGGGAACAACCGTGGGTTTGGGGGGGTAAGGTCAGCAAACGGAAGTGGGTTGTGTGTCGCTATGAAGATATGCGACCACAGCGGCGGCTAGGGTGGTAGAGAGAAAGGAGGATGTATTGATTCAAGAGAGCTACGGCTAGTGACATGTCACGGCCGCGAGAAGGAGTGATACAGAAGCCGAAACCAAACCATCAGACTAGTCAGCGCTGGCTAGTGTAATGGTTTGATTTCGGCTTCTATAAACGATAGTCGCGGGGTTCGTGCGCTGAGTAGTCTATTGGTTTGATTTCGGTTGCATAGTCAGAGCGAATTGGAGCGATTCCTCGTAGCAACTACTTCGCAGTAGGTGGGATGAGGTCGCTAGTTGGTCTTCAACACAGGCATTGGTATCCCGAAACACACGCAGCGTTCTAGAGTGTATATGACCTCCTGTGCGTGGTACGCAACAACTGCTACACAAAATCACCTCCGCATGTTCGCATCATCACGTCACGACACGAGAGACAGACAGACAAGCATTGGCTTATCAAAGTAAGCTTTTCCCTTCGGTATATCTCCCACTCACCGTTTAGACTTCAACACATCCCCTTCGGCTGCTGCAGTATTATCTCCAAGGGGATAGTCTTTCTGTGATTGTACGTAAAAAATTCTCACCAGACCGGCGGGTTTGGGTTGCACGAACTTGAGGTCCACCGTCTTCCCCAAGAACCGATCGACCGCGTCCTTGTAGGCCGTCGCCGCGTCGTCTCCTGTCAAAACGGTTGGCAATGGATGATAGTTACAGTAGAAACCTCGCCGATCGAGTGTTGTTGAAAGATCACCAATCAAAACGGTTGGATGTAGATGTTAGGCGTCATTTCTTGTCAATTGGTGGTAAGCATAGATGACAGCTTACGTCGTCTCCTGTCAAAGGGTTTGTGGCCAAACAAATGACAGTTACAATGAGCACGTCGTCTTACAAGGTTGGTGGTGGTTTGTGCGATGACAGTTACATTGGAAGTTCTTCTCCTGCCGAAACAGCTGGGTGTGAGAGGAGGGGCAGGGCTAGCATTGGGGCAAGGAAGACAGTGATAGAAAGGGTATGGCGATATCGTTGTCTACATGACACACACAGCGACATGACCTCATGCTCAAGGCTACACGGTTGGGGTCAGGCTGAAACACAAGACGAGGATAGGGTCACCGAACACCTGGGGCAGGCGAAGAGTCACTACTCGTTCTTCCTGTGGTTCTGTTCCTGCTGCTGTTGCTATTGTTGTAACTGTGTTGTTTTCGTTGTTGCGGTCTTCACATTCGAAAAACAGTTCCGACCTTCGCATGGTGCCTCGAATTCCTGCCTCTCTACGACCAATAAAGGAAACTTCCTCGAATTTTCCGTCGCCGCACCCCACCCCCCCACGAAACGCCTCCCCGCAAATCGCGCACACCACGAACCAAAAAAATCGGCGGTAAGTGGCCATCGTCACTTGGTCACCTTCTGACACTATCACTGGTTGCCCGAGGTTAGTCGCCGTCAGCACCGCCTTCGACTCCGGAATCAACCCCAGCACCTCCAGCCCCAAGAGCTCCTGGATGTCCGCCAGTGTGAGCATCTCGTTGCTCTCGGCCCGGGCGGGGTCTGCGCGCGGGGGGGAGGGGCAGCAGGGAGGTGTATGTGTGTTGGGGGGGGCACGCGGCGAACCGTAACAAACAACAACAATGACAACAGCAACAACAAGGGCAGCCTCAACCCCCCGCAACAAATACCACCACCGCCACAACGAAGATACTAACAGCAGCTGCAGCAACAACAACAACAACAGCAACAACATAAACCCCCTTCAAACACCACCATCACCACCACCACAAAAACGATCTCATCATCATCATCAGCAGCAGCAACAACAACATAAATCCCTTCAGCAAAACACCACCACCACCACCACAACAACAACAACATCGACAGCAACATCAACAGCCACAAACACCACCACCAACATCACCCGCCGCAAAAAAAACAAAAAAACAACAACAACAAGGGGCTACGGTCCGTCGCTTACCGTATCTGGTGACGAGCAACGTCTGCCGCACCGGCGCCTGCCCCGTCTCCGCCCTCCTAGACTTGCTGGCGATGAACCCCACCATCTTGTCGCTATCCCTGCACGAGGACACCTCTGGGTTGGTGACAATCACCGCCTCGTCTGCCAAGTACATGGCGTGCCGCGCCCCTGTTACCGCCGTCGGAAAAAAAACGCGGTTAGATGATGGGCACCCCAACTGCCGGGGGGCGTCCAACATGTTTTGGGGTGACTGTTGGGTGTCTACGTGTGCATGTGTATTGTCGCCCACCACCAACAGAGACACTCCCATGGGGAGAAACATGTTCTAGGGTGCTCGATTGGTGTCTACATGTGCGTGTGTATTGTCGTCGACAACCAGAAACATCCCCATGGAGAGAGACAGACCCCGGGGCCAAAACGGTTGTTGGATGAAAGTGTGAATGTGTATTGTCGTCCACAAAACAGAAACATGTGTATTGTCGTCCAAAAACAGAAATTTCTATTGGAGAGAGGGCCCCGAGTCCTACACGTTCCCGTAGGTTGATCGTTCGATGCACGTGTGCATGTGCATTGTCGTCGACAAACAGAACCAGTCCCACGAAGAGGAACCCCAGGGTTGTATTGAATCCCTGCTGGGAGCGCCCAACGTTCTGCTCCGCTCTGCACCGTGGCGAAACAAATGGTCATGCCAGCATGGCTTCAGATAGAAAACACATGGTGAAACAAACGGTCCTAACAGTGTGATTTCAGATATGCCAACACTTTCGAACGCATGCACCCTTTTCCGTGGTGAAATACATGGTCATATGCATACCAACAGTGTGACTTCGGACAGGCAAACACTTCCGAACGAATGCGGCCGCTATGTGAAACATATTATCACACCAGTGTGACTTCCGATAGGCAAACACTTCCGAACGCATGCACCCCCTAGGTGAAATAATTGGCCACAACAGCAGTGCGGCTTCAGAGAAGCAAACACTTACACTTCCGAACGCATGCTCGGGACCCACATGTAAAATAAACGGCCATACCAGCAGTGCGACTTCAGGCAAGCAAGCACTCCCGAACGCATGCGCGGGACCCCTTTCGACTCGCCTGACTCGATCCCCGCGGGGCTGTCACACACGACGTAGTCGAAACTCTTCTGCAGCTCCCGTATGACTCGGGTAACCCCTTCCTGCGTCAATGCCTCCTTGTCCTTCGTCTGAGACGCCGCCAGCAGGCTGAGCCCGGGATTTCGTCGGTCCTGTATCAGGGCCTGGTTCAGCGTGCACTGCTCCTGTTGAAAGAGGGGGGGCGGGGGATCCAAGAGGACACCAAATGGTGACGACAAGATATTGAATGATACGGAAGGCGGGACCACTCAATATCCTCTTCTGCTGCCTGCCGGAGGCTCGCTACTTGTTTCCTCTTCGGAGATAGTTTAACCCAACAAAGACCATGTACATGGTTCTTTAACTGAGCGCCTGTTCTTATCCTCAAGTTTTCCAGAGTATACCGAAAACGGTGAAGCTTTCGACCCAGGCGTCGTCAAGGACACATGTAACCAACCAGAGGCGTCTGTTGAGATCACAGAGGACTGACCACAGTACGGCAGCGAAAACTAGCAAGCGGTTGGCGCGAGATAGGGAGCAGCGCCCAAGCTTCACCGGATTGCGAGCGACAAAGCCATGCCTCACACTACAGTCAGTGCAGCTGGAGGGAAGGTTTCCTGAGTCTGTCTGTCTCTTTCACTGACTCGTTCCGTGTCAACGCAACATCATCAACAACAACAGCGAGAACAACAGCAAAAACAACAGCGATGAAAACAACGACAACGGCAGCAGCAACAACAGCAAACAGCGACAACATCAACAACCACAACATCAACAACAGCAACAACATCAACAACAACAACAGCCACAGCGACAACAGCAGCAACCGCAACACAACCGCAACAATAACACAAAAAATTGCGGACGATGTCATCTACAAGGTCTGGGAACCACAATCTGCGACCACCACCTGTATGACGTTGACGAAGTCGAAAATCACCCTCCGCTCGCAGCCGAGATGCAAGTCCATGTTCCTCAGCCCGATATCGAAATCGATCACACACGTTCGGTGCCCCGCCTGACAGATTTGGAATGGCGTATGCACACAAGTGCGAGCGAAAAAAAATCGTGAGATGTCACACGCGCGGTTGATGCGGGAACGATCCTCGGCTCTTGTTCAGATCGGGTGGGATAGAACGAGCTGCAAGGTGCTGCAAGGTTTTGTGTTTTATCCAAGCTGAGTACAGTGCAGGGACCTCTTTAGTGCTGGTGCCCGATATAGTGCTGGTGCCCGATATAGTGCCGGTAAAATCTCTGGACACAGACAGCGCTCTCAATAGTGCCGGGCCGGCACTATTGAGAGCTGACCCGCTAGAGTGCCGGTTGGGCGCCACGACGCCCCGCAATAGTGCCGGTTCACTACTGTTGTACACGCGCACACACACTCACGGGGTCTCGGTTACAATGGCATTTACAAGCGTTTTGTGTTTTCAATCGCACTGAGGCTGACGTCTTGTCATTGGTCAGCCGGTTAGCGCGGTCGATGCTAATAATAAAGACACACACACGCACCGCGCACCACGCACACACGCCAGAGGACAGGCGCCACACTGAAAAGAGGGTACAACTGCTGCTGCAGACCCGAACAGCTCTACGCAGCGGCGTACCATGCCATGTGCGGAAGGTGCACCGTGCCATCAACAAGACCGAACGCCGCCAGCCCCTCATGGCCACGTCTGCCAAGGAGGATGTGGCGGGCGGCTCCACGGCAATTGCGGCAGCGTGTTGGAGGACAACGAGACGCACCGCATCTGCAGTAAGTGCGTCACCAGGATTGCCAAGCGCAAAGCGACAGCAAATGGAAGTGGCAACGGAGACGCGGCGTTCTTCCTAACGAAAGCGAAGATGGCGATGATTGCAGCGCATTCCGCTAAGCGGGTGCGGCAGGCAGACATGAGAGAGTTTGTTGCTGCTACGGAGTAAGGGTGGGGTACAGCTGTTGTAAATGGTTGTTTGCTTTCTTCTGGTGCGCTTCCTGTCGTGCTTTTCTTGTTTTGTTTGTTTTTGTTTATCGCAACATCCAAGGGGGTGCACCAGGCAGACATGAGAGAGTTGCTGCTACGTTGTGAGGGTGGGGGGTATAGCTGTGGTAAATGGTTGTTCTTTTTCTTGAGGTGCGCTTCCTGTCGTGCTTTTGTTGTTGTGTTTGTTTTTGATTCTTTCTTGCAACATCCAAGGGGATGCGCAAGGCAGACATCAGAGAGTTGCTGCTGCGTAGTGAGGGTGGGGGGTATAGCTGTGGTAAATTGTTGGGTGTTTTTTCTTGCGTTGCGCTTCCTGTCGTGGTTCTCTTTTTGAGGTGTCTTCTTTTATCTGGTAAGATCGAAGGAGGGCAACGAGGACCGAGATTATGCTTCGTCCACTATTTAACAACACAGCACGCACAATTTCGATCCACATCGTACTCTGTTGGCCCCGCAAAGCTTGAGCGCTACACCATGAAATCAACATCTTCTCAATAGTGCCGGACTGGCACTACTGAGGTATTTTCGAAACCTCAATAGTGCCGCACTATTGAGGTACTAATCTGAATACTGCCGGTGCCCGGTCTAGTGCCGCTTTTTTTTCTGGACACTACCCGGCACTATAGAGGTCCCTGTACTGTAGCCATCTCGCTGTTGAAGACCCTGTTAACCCCTTCTTTTATTCCAGTTGCTCTAAATTCCTGCGGACCCTCTAGAACATACCCCCTTACCCCATCCAATGCGGCAGCAACACCGCTCTGAATCGAGTGTCTCTCATTCGCCCTGAAAAAATGTTTGGGTCCTCTCTCGGTTTCTCACCTACATCTACCCAGATATATGGTCCATTGTGCCGTTTTTTTGGTGATAGGGAACTATTCTGGGCAGATAATGACACATGGAGAACCCTATTTGGGGCCATAGCCCGTGAAAACCGGGCTTCGTCTCTCTACGCACCTCGAAATGGCAAGGAAAAGATGATGAGGCAGGTCAAGTTCTTGTTGACAAACACCATTGAATTGCCAATGACTGCACTGCACTCCCTGTGGATCCAAAGACGCCAGGCAACAGGCCAGGGGTAGTGGCCTGCCTCCCTTTCAACAACTGCTATTGCGTCACCCAAAATCCAATCACTTTCGTGTTTTCGAGCCCGGCAAAGTGCCCTTTGGAATGCATGACATCATCCCCATGCACATCGCTCCGTGCACACCTCGGCCAGGGAACATCAATCCCACAGACATGATTCCGTAACACCTGAGAGAGGGAAACGCATGGCATCAATCCCACAGGCATGATTCCGTACCATGGTATCAGTCCCACCTGAGAGAGGGAAAGGCAAGTCACCATCTCAACACGTACACACCTGAGCGAGGCCGTACGAGAGACTGGCAGCAGTCGTGGTTTTGCCCACTCCGCCTTTGCCAGAGGTAACCACCACGACGCAGCCCTCCCCATCTTTGCCTCCATTGCCCCCGGCTGTCGACACCGTCGACAATTGCCTGCCACCGCTGCGACGCCGTCAATAGTAGCGGTTGGCGTTTCGATGGGCCAGTAGGAAAAAATCGGGCAAAGGGGGGGTGAAGTCAGTCTCGAAACAGCGATTTGGCATCATGAGAATCGCTACTACCACAAGGGTAAGTCCTACACATGTACCGAAATCGAGTTCGGAGCGACCAGTATTAATCAAAACGACCGGCACACGTCCACGCGAGTGTGCCATGTTTCAAACGAACAAAAGCACAGAGGGTCGTGTCATGTTACGGGGAAACCTGTGCTCAATGTTTGAAGCAGTTCAGCATCTCGTTTCGCCAAGGTACTCGCCTAACATGAGTAAGATTGGTGCAGAGGTTGCCGCGTCGAACTGGAACAAGTCGTGGCGCGGCCGCAGTTGCTCCGTGCTGTGTCGGTGCCCAACACGAGAGAGCCAGCGACACAAAGAACGAGAGAGAGAGAGAGATTGGGGAGGGGTACTATGAGCGCAGTTGTTGCACACACTGCTGTTGTGTAGAATCAAGGGACCGATGGGCATGCCAGGTGTGGAGACAACCGGTCAACAGGCATGCTGCTGTCCACAGGCGATTAGACCATGCTGTAGATCATGAACACACATGCGCGCCTGCCAAAGCCGCCATGTCCTTGTGCATGGGGGATGCATGAATGTGCACGTGTCACATGTCACATTGAAGTGGTGGGAACAATCGGCATATACACCAAAATCCAAAAACCCTAACTGCCTAACGCAGAACAAAGTCGCAAGGCGCGGGCTTGTTACACACATGTGCACTCCCCTATATGTAGTGCTGTCAGCAGCAGTACACGAAGGGACGACACATTACATGCATGCATCATAGTCTAATAGTGAGATAGCATATATGTTGGCGTTGGCATTAAGTACTGATGTATCTCTGCGCAGTGTACCATCCTGTTCGGTTCTCTGCTGCTGCTACTCTGTTGTAGCCTGCTCTAGAACGAATGCTTGCATATATGCACACAGATTGTTGGCGTGTGGCGACGTTCCACCCAGGAAATGGACAGAATCGCGCGTGCAAACGATTATCCTTTGTTGACCTCTTCGCTCTACACCCACAGCAGCAGTTTGCACACACAAGGGACTGCCTGCTGTATCAAGTAGTATACACACAAATCGTCCTGCGCACCTTTCCCACAAATGGAGATCCTCGCAGCACCACCCAGCCAAAACGTCTTTGTGTCACTACTCCTGCCATCGCGGTGCGTACTGCACTGTGGTAAGCGAAGGTGGCAGCGTGGCTGCTGTGCTGCGCTCCAACGTTGCCGGGCGGGGGGTTCGAAACTGTAGGTGGAATAGTCTATACCGCGATATTTCGAATCCTAGCTGTTGAGCCCCTGACCCTGTACTTGTGTACTTTGCTGGTGACTACATACCGCTGCTCCAAGCAGGTGTTGCCTGGCGTACGTTGTTGAGCTGCACGGGCGGAAGAAGTCATTTGGTGAGTGTTTTTGCGAGTCGCCCTTCCTGTACGAGAGATGTCCGGAAGGAAATGCGAAGCTCTTGAAACATCGGACGTGAAGTACTCCCTGCATCAACTTGCTGTCCGCCCCTCTCATGCTCTCACACACATGAATCCTGCCGTGCATACATAGTTGGCTGGTTGGGTCGTCTTGCAACCAGTCACGGATCTTGGCTCTGTTGGTTGCTTCTTTTGTGGCTAAGCAGGCATCTGTGCAAATGATTTGCAATCGTTGAAGAAGTTCACTTCGTAGCATGAGGCCTAGCGGACGAGACCATGTAGCATAGGTACACGTGCAAAGTAGTAGACTACCGTATATGACACAAGATAACACACCCCCTGGACCGATTTCCAAAGCTCGATTACTCCACGACGAAGAGGATGCACAAACAAAACGATACATTTTCGAAAATTTCTCGACGAGACGATTCCAACGCTGCCGTTTTCGGCGCCGTGACTCTTCCTGCTGTTGAGAAATCGAGCTTTGAAAATCGGCCAAGGGGGTGTGTTATCTTGTGTCATATACGGTAATGCCTTTGTGGCAGCAGCTACCGTACATATGCACCCAGTGTCAGCAGTACCATGTAGTCCACCCCACCGACGTTGACACACGTACGTCAACTGAATGCTTGCCTCGCGACGACGGTACACGCAGGCTCCGCCGCAAAAGGCTGGGGAGGCCTGCCTGCCTCGCGCGCTCAAACGTGACGGAAATGGACTGCTGCCACTACAAGGGCAACGCGCGCCCTCCTGTCGTCGCGGATACGGCTCAGCGGCGGAGAATACGGAGGAGGCGTTGCACTTGCCGGGAGTCAGCCTGCTCTTCGACACATGGACCGGGAGGAACAACAGGCGAGGCGGCAAGGATCCCGGGCTGTTCGCGCAAGAGGAGGAGAAGCGGCGGCGGCGGCGGCGGCGGCGGCGGCGGCGGCGCAGGCAGCGCACTCCTCTGCGGGCTGTTGGGCGGAGCGCTTCTGGGAGGGGGCGGGGGACCGGCGGTATCGGGAGCATGGGCCGCTGCCGGTGGAGGCGCTGCTGTTTGCGGCAGGTCACATGCCGCCATGCGTTGTGGATCCAACACGATCGCCTTGATGCAGCTGGGCTCCGCGGCGATGGGCGGAGGGTTCTGCGGGTGGGGTGATGCCGGCGCTAGGAGAGCGTGTGTTGGGGAGGCTGCTGCTAGGAGGCCCACGGAGGTACAGCTCTCTGTGCATGGTGGTTCCGTCACAGTCAAAAAGTTAAAGCCTTCCTGCGCGTACTGCAAGAGTCATCGCTCTTGCCGTGACACTTCCTATTCGTCTTGCACCAAGAAGTCGTGACACCCACGTATGTTAATCACACCCAAGCGTTTGATCATTATTCAACGTGTGCAGGCTTGGGGGTGGTCCACCAGCGGGTCGCATTATTATAGTACACGCGCGTGGCCAGATATGTACGATTTCATGGTGCTACATACATACGGTTGTCGCGATAGGCCACCTAAATCCCAAGCTGGCCAAACAACCTACAACCAACATCACCTGCTTCCGAGGCAACGCTAATCATCGCGTCCCCGTTCTCACCAAGCAACCACCATTCGAAGCAACTACGGTCAGTATACAACACGCCGCCAGCGACAAATATACGTAGCCCATAATGAGAGGGCCGCCACCAAGCGTTCGCCTCGTGTAAAACTCGAAGTTTGAACGTTTCTTCGTGTAAGGAAGCCTTCGCTTTCCACCTCCAGCCCCGTCCTTGCTCGAACTTGTGTTGTGTACGTTAAACCTATTATGTGTACGCCCCCCCCCCGCCCCCCGCTGGGGTATAGGAAACGGGCTGAAAAGGCGGGAAAGTGATATCGATAGGATAGGGAACACTCTTTGAGCCACCTTTGGCAAAGTAGGAAGGAACGATCGGCCATCGGTGATCGGTCGCTTGGGAAAATTTCTCCCCGCGTCCTCTCGAGGACGCGTGGTCTAGCCGCGAAGGCATGCGAAACATGAGTACGTCCCCCTCCCCCCCCCCCGGGCACGGTGTCTCCCCCCATCGATTGGCATGAACCCCCCCCCCAAAAAACAGAAGAAGCTCGGCGGCTACACCATAAGTGGCAGGGACCGCGGCAGGCGATCATGGGAAGATTGGGAAAGAGGGCACCGGTCTTTCGCGACGGTGACAGGAGTTCAAAATAAGGAGGCCAGCATCGCGGCGTGCGGCGGTGGCGGCCAGCACGAGGTCGAGAGAGAAACGTCGAGTCGCATCCAGCCCCCGTCCCTGCCGTTGTCTGCCTCTAGCGCGGGGGGAAGTTCGTCGTCGGAAAGAAGATTATTACCGGAAAATTCTTGTGGAGGAGAGCTTGTGGCCGGGGAGGAGGAAGAGGTAGGGGAAGCGGTTCACCCCGTCGCGGTGGCGGCGGCGGCGGTGGCGGAGGCGAAGGCGGACCCCGCCGACCCGTTCCACGGCGATCTCCCCCTCGCCCGGGAGCAGCGGCTGAAGATGGCGGTGGCGGAAACGGGGTCCGCAACGGTGGAGGCAGCAGCTTCTACGGCGAGCCTGAACGGCCACAATCGCGGTGGTGGTGGTGGTGGTGGTGGTGCCTCCGCCGCCGGCCGACCACCCCCTCCTTCCGCCTTTGCCGGGGGGGGCTCTCGCGCTGCCGGCACCGACGATAGGGCACGACGCGGCGGCGGCGTCAGTAGTAGCAGCAATGGCCTACAGGGCGGCGACAGGAAGAAGGACGATTCGGCGCGGATGCGCAGGTACTTGCCGGGTACGAAGGGCACCGGGCAGCAGCACTCCCTCGGGGCGGCAAGGGGGGAGGGGGCTCCGCAGCCGCGATCCTCGCCCGGACGGAAGGACAAGGACCCACCCGTCGAAGGGAAGAATGGGGGGAAGGACATGGCTTCGGAGGCGGAATCTAGGGCGGAGGAGCCGGCACTGCTGTCGTCTCGAAGAAAGGGGGCGGTGAATAAGACTTCTAGCGGCGGCGGCGGCGGTGGCGGGGAGCAGCAGCACCCTGACGACGACAAGGCAGCGGCGGAGGACGCCTCGACGCAGCAGCAGCGCCATCAGCGGAAGTGCCCGCCGGCCGTGGGGTTTGTCGGCGGCTTCCGGGATGTCCCCGTCGGTGCCCCTTCCTCCGGCCGGAGAAAATCCACCACGGAAGCGTTGATCCACGCCCTAAGCGAGCCGCTCAAGCCAAGCCCGCGCCACGCGGCCGGCGCAGAAGCGAGCGTTGGGCTCGGTGGAGGTGAGTTCCCGAAGACGTCAGGCCGCTGGCCGACCACCACTAAGGCCAGCAACGGCAAGGGGGCAACGGCGGTACAGCAAGGCAGGAGCGGCGGCGGCAGCGGAGGCGGCGGCAGGCCGCGGCCGAACGCGAGGGACGCCTTCTCGAGGGTGGCGCTAGACGAGCGCTCCAGGGAGATGGCTCCTCCCAACCGCAACGTGACCATCACCTTCGACCCGGGCGCCTCGACCCTGCTCGGGTGCATCACCGCCAACACGGATGTGTACGGCCCCGCGCTGTGCTCGGACACGGCGGCGACGCTGACCCGGGAGGAGACGGCGGCGTACCTGGAGCGGTGGGTGCTGATCGCCGTCAAGCACGGGGTCCTGCCGAGGGAGCTAAGGGCGTTGCTCCAGGATGAGGGCCACGGCCAAAGGGGGGGCACGCCCGGCTACTACTCCGTACGGGAGGAAGGTAGAGAGACTGCCGCTTCCACCGGGACAGTGGGAGAGGACGGTGGCGGTCCCTACCGCGTGGGAGGGCGCAGCGGTACCGGTGGAACAGGGTCCTCGTCTCCTCACGGCCTCGGTGGCGACAGTGTCACGAGCGTGTCGTGGACGAAGTACGGCTGGAACCGTTTCGACGTAGCCGCCCCTTCCGCGGGCGTGGCGGGGGACGTGCAGACGCCGCAGCCACGGACGCAGCGGCGGCGGCGGCGGCGACGGCAGCTGGCCTTGGACGACGAGGAGGTGGAAGAAGAAGAAGAGATGGAGAACATCGCCGAGGCCTTGGTCGGGGGCGAGGGGGAGGTCAACGGCGCCGCCCATCCTGGTGCCTCAACGACGCGGGACCCCTCCCCCGACGCCCCCCTGTCGACGTCCTCAGCGGCCGCCTTGAGGACGGAGTGGCGTTACCGACACCCAGATCCCGTCGCTCGTACCGCGGGAGGCTCCTCCTTCCCCCCCTCCGAGCGCCGCGGGGGGGGGG